TCAGAGATGCTGCAGAAATGGGAACATTATCATAAAGGAACAACCTGATTGTGAAGACGAGTCATTTTTAAATCTATTTTCCAGGTGAACCACATGAGGATGATTTCACTGAACTGATGAAGCTTGTTGCACACAAAGCTTTACAAAGGTAAGATCTCACTTCCTGTCCTACAAAATAAGAGCTGAATCAAGATGTTTGAACTAAATGACTAACACCAAAACCTTCCCAAAGTCAGTATTTACTGCAGGACAGTTAATTAATGATCTTTATATTGACACTAAAATGGAAACTCATCACCTGCTTCCATGTTGTTTTGCTTCCTGCCAACATAAAACTCCTGCATGAGCTGCAGCTCCATATGAGCAGGCAGTCGAGTCCCCAGAAAGCTTCCCTGTTTCTAGGAACCATTTCATCCAGAGTTGGTCGACTTTCTCTGTCAGACGGTGAACCTTCAGTCTGAGCATGTGCAGAACCTCCTAACACACCTGGTCCAGATTCATGTGCTGCAGTCTCTGCTGGTTCTGATGTCTGGACCAGAAAACTGATGTCCTGAAGAACCTGCAGCCTGTTGAGCTCAGAGAAAAACTCAGTGGTCTGGATTTTTTCAGACGAAGCTGAAGTTGGTTTGTGATTCAGGAAATGGATAAAGGGCGATTCCACCTAATTATTCACTACAACCAGCATCTTTAATCTGCTCTAGTTAAACATTAAAACACCTGGACTGGATTATTATCGTCTAATAGAAGAATATTTAAAATTAAGTGTGGGATTTGTGGATCTTCAATAAAGGCAGATTTCATTCTTTCTGTTTTTGATCTGACCTTTGACCTGCTTGACATGAGGGGGATTTCTACACACTGGGGGTCCGAATGCTGTCCTGTTCTGACCTCAGGTCAGCAGGTCCAACTCAGTTACACAGAGGGACTAAATTAAACTCTGGATCCAAGTCCAGGAACAAACTCAGAAAATATTTATTAGAACAGAAGATATTAAATTTGATTAATGATCAATTATATATACTATTCACTGAAATATCAATAATTATATAATTACATACCCCAATGTTTCCAGTTTGCAGCCTTCTGTCTGGAGAAAACCACCAAGCTCCTTCACTCCAGAATATCCCAGGTTGGTTCTGTTCAGGTCCAGTCCTGTCAGATGGGTCGGTTTGGACTTCAGAGCTGAGAACAGAGACGTCCAGCTGGTCTCTGACAACCTGCATTCCCACAATCTGAATAAAGAATAAAAGATGAGCTGAAGCCAACAGGATGAAGTTAAAACTGAAATGTGAACGTGGGTCATTTTGTTCAAGTTGAAGTTCTGAATCCTTCATCAGAGACGGCTGCAGAAATGGGAACATTATCATAAATCAGTGTTTCTCAATTATTTTCTGTCATGCCCCACCTAGGGATCATAATTTTTTTAAGCTCTGAGTTTTTTATTTGTGTTTTATATACAAGTAAAGTTGGTCGAGAATAAAGACAAATTTTATGATTAGGCCTTTTGTAAATTAATATTTTAGTAATCGAGTAATCTATCAATTATTCTTACGATTAATCAAGTAATCGGATAAAAAATTACTGGTAAATCTGCGCAACACCAGTGTTACTATTGGATATCAGTCCAATTTTTCATATTTGAGCATCTCTAACAATTATGTTTTTGTAGTTTAGAAAATTAAATTGTAACAACAAAAGTTATCTTTAACCTGAAGAGAAGTTATACAAAGATCTGAAATTATATTCAATTTAATAATAAAGTGGCAGCCTCACAAATACGCTTATAAAAATATCTATACTCCAGCTTTTAGTTTATGTATTCATCTTCAGTGAGTTTAACCAATGAACTCTCACCTTGCCACATACCTGTCAAGCTTTGGCAGCCACCCTGGAGTGGGGGGCTTAGAGTGATGGTGGTCATGATGAGCACTGAGAAAGCATGCGCATAGCAAGGACGCGCTTGTTCGGCGCGCTTATCTGGGGAACTACGGACACCGTGAAAGCTCAAACAACATGCTTTGCCAAAGTTCATAATATCTTCACGTTTTGCGTGAAACTAATTATATATATATATATATATATATA